ATTGGTTCTTGTATTTTAATGGATTTGAGAATCCAAACCAAATTCAGTGTTATTGGTTCTTGTATTTTAAAATTTATATTGAAATACACTGTTATTGGTTCTATGATTTTAAAATCTATAATGAAATACAGTGTTATTGGTTTTATTATTTTAGAATCTAAATATTATAAGGATTTGAGTTTTAATTGAATTTGAATAGATTCTGAAGGATTTTATGACTAAAATACAAAGACCCAAATACAAAGTCTAACCTTGGTATTTGAGTGGATTTGATTTTTTTTCTATTTTGCTGATTTTGAAATCAATAAATTTATCGAATCCAAAGAAGATTTATAAATCCACCAAAATACAAGAACCAATAACCCCTACTGAGGAGGTGTTATTGGTTCTTGTATTTTAATGGATTTGAGAATCCAAACAAAATTCAGTGTTATTGGTTCTTGTATTTTAAAATATATATTGAAATACAATGTTATTGGTTCTATGATTTTAAAATTCATAATGAAATACAGTGTTATTGGTTCTGTCATTTTAAAATCTAAATATTATAAAAATTTGAGTTTTAAATGAATTTGAATAGATTTGAAAGGATTTCCATGACTAAAATACAAAAACTCAAATACAAGGTCTAATCTTGGTATTTGAGTGGATTTGATTTGCTGATTTTTAAATCAATAAATTTATCAAATCCAAAGAAGATTTTTAAATCCACCAAAATACAAAAACCAATAACCCCTACTGAGTCTTTGTATTTTAGTCATGAAAATCCTTCCAAATCCATTCAAATTCAATTAAAACTCAAATCTTTATAATATTTAGATTTCAAAATGATAGAACCAATAACACTGTATTTCATTATGGATTTTAAAATCATAAAACTAATAACACTGTATTTCAATATAGATTTTAAAATACAAGAACCAATAACATTGAATTTGATTTAGATTGTCAAATCCATTAAAATACAAGAACCAATAACACCTCTCTAGTTAAAAGTTATACTAAAATTTTTTTTTAACACCGCAACAATATGCATGCTACTACTGAAACGTGGCATTGTGCACCCTTTATTTGCAAAGATCAATCTTTTAATATAGCTAGGGTAAAATCGTTAATTTAATACGTGACTGGATTCCACATATTTAGTTTACTATTTTAGTAAATGATCGATAGATTAATTAAATCTCGAATCAGTCCAATGCATGGTTATTAGAGTTGGGAAGATCAATTTTTTATTATATCTAGAGGAAAACCCACTAGAGAGAAAAGAGAAAATCACTGAAAACTAAAAACATTACGATTTTTGTGATAACCAGATTGATCCCAAAAATTGACTTATAGGAGGAACTCAGTAGAACTCGTAACCGCGGCTAGATGAAGAGCTTGAGTCGCTGGCTTGGACGGTGGCTGACGTTGTAGGCAACCAAACCTCACGCATAGGTTCATCGACTGGATAAACCACGAGCTCACGGACGTTCATCGGTTGGATCACAATTGGATCGGCTCCAAAAAGAAGATGACCAAACATTTCTTGCGCTTTCTCGGTGTTGTGACGCCCGTCGAAGAATAGGTAAGATCGTTGGTACTCACATAACCTCGAGTGCACGTTAGGTAAACCGCAACCATAAGCATCGTGTGTCCCAACACCGCAGCACGATGCGTTTGTTATGAAAAACCCTATTAATAACAAATTTTAACGGTTTTGTATATGAGTATTCAATTAGCGTCAGAGCTTAAAACTAAAATAAACAGAAATAGTTGTAATTAACCAACTCACGGTAGTTGGTGGGTCTCTGCGTCCTATGAAGAATGGCATTGTAGAAATCGAAGACAGTGAACTGGAAACCAGGAGTGGTTCTAGCCATTTCGTTCAACATCGGTCCGATTTTCTCGTTGTGTTGTTTTGCCAAATTGTTGAGAGGTTCGTAGCATTGATCCATCCCGGTGCTGTAATCTTGTCTGACTATCGGTAGGCAGCCCAATGGTGCTAGGGTTTGGATAACGAACTTACTAGCTCCTGATGAATACAACAAGCTAATATCGTTCTTTAACTTGTTTGTCACGGAAGTGACGAAAGCTTGTTGAGCAGATGCATCGGCGTTGGGGTTGTTCTTGGTAAAGTTTAAGTAATCGTTAGCACCAATGTATATCATAAACACTGACTTCTTGATGAAGTCATCATTCCAGTTTGCTGCTTTCATTTGATTGAACTTCCTCACTTGTTGATTCAGAGTCAACTAAAGGCAAGAAAAAAAAATTAATAATTAATATTACAATTGCAACTATATTAAAATGAAGCGTATTGATTTTTTGAGTTAAATATATTAATGTGCTGATGAATACTATAAAACAAAAGTAAAGGTCCCAGTGGGTCAAAAAAAGACAGAGGTGTGTTTTTGACTTGAATAGTCTTCTAAAGTATCAATAATAAAAATGTTGAAAAAAATTAAGTAGACTTACAGATTCCACCGGAGCTCCGAGAAGAGTAGCATCGGCGACAGCAAAACTAGCTCCACGGGAGACATTGACGTTCGGTTTAAGCGCCGCCGGGATTTCGATCGGAATCCCCATGAATTTTGCTGCATATAGCATTTATTTCAATATTTTAGTTTTTCAAATTAAATTTCGTTCACTGTCCATGTGTGTTGTTGACCAAAGCAAATATATGCAAAAAAAAAAAAAAAAAAAAAATTAGATGCGTGTTTTAAAAACTGCATAGGAGGCTCAAACTATGCACTTGTAACTTCTAATATTTATAGCAAACTAAAACGTAGACCTCAAATGTTTATAGCAAACTAAAAGACAAAAGCTACAAACATTTTACGCCCGTGTAAACTCGTGAGATTAACGTTAGATTTAGATCTAGGATCCTCGTGTTATAAAGATTATAAACGTACCGACAAAGTCTGGAGCTATGAAGCCGTCGGAGAATTTGCCGTTAGGGTTATCTCGGGATTTTCCATATGGCCAGAAACCCTGCGCAACGTTAGTTTGGGTGAGAGTCTGTTTGTTTCCAGCGTCGAAGTTGGAATCACCGAACGTGAACAAAGCCACCGCCGGGATATTTTGTCCGGCCACGGTGATCGGGTTGTGGAACAATGCGAATAACAAAAATACCCCTAGAACACTCGCTAAACTACAGTTGCCTGCCATCGATCGTATAGAGAGTGGGAGAGGACGATTGTTAGAGAGAAGATTACTTTTGTGCTTAAGTTCATTGACCCGTACATTAAATTTATATTGCAGGTATGACTTTGGGGAACTATAGTAATTTGTTTTTTAATTTGTAACGTGACACGCGTGGTTAATATTTCTAATACAAGTGAACAACTGTGCTCTGTGCTTTAGTTAATGTAAAGTGAGTAAACGATTATTGATAAATCATAGTTCACACACATCTGACAAAACTAAATAACTACTATGCATTGTAAATGTAAGTAAACGACTGTTGATCAATTTCACACATCTGACAAAACTAATTTTTAAATTTATTTGTAATTAAAAAATTCATTCATAGGATCAGGATTCAGGAATCAGGATCGTTCATTTACAAGGCAGCCAGATCAAGATTGGAAAAATAATGTCAATGAAATATCCAAAAACATAGAAAATCGAACCACTTACGCTGACCCACGTGAAGCAAAGGAAGACAACTCAGGAAGCCTTTTATTTTTTTTGTCGCCATCGAAGAAAGTTAAAAGCACATATTTAATAATTATTTCAACTTTAATTTCATAAAATGGATAAAATATAGTTAACCCGTTTCATACGCGAATTTTAAAGTCACGGATCATATGTTTAATAAAGTTTCGTCACAAATATTTAATAATGGATTTACGAGTTTTATTCTTCAGTTTAGTTGTGTTCTTTTTGTTTTTATCAGTTTATCAGTACTGTTTTGAAAAGATTAGCGGTGATTACTTTTATTTTGTCAACAAAAAAATGAATAACGTTAGTGCTCCAAAAAAATAATGAATAACGTTTATTTGGTTTCATAAAAAAAATAATAACGTTTATTTGGAATCATTAAAACAACAAAAAAGGTTCACAAATTGTCACTATAAAATTAAAGTTTTGAAACTATAGAATAATACAAAAAAAAATGCCCTGTTTGGCCATACAGATATGAATTTTTGCTTTGGACCTATTTAAATATTCAAAAAAAAAATTATTCCATGAGTTACACTTTCTCCAGAGATTAGTCTGAACCTTTTTATAGATTTGGAATTTCTTAAGTTATCAATAAAAATAAAATAAAAAATGCTAACGTGGAGGTGGAGTTCTATATGAAGCGTTCCATATTTGACTTTTCTATATTATAGCATGATTCTTGGTTTAATTTCATATAAAAATTACTCTATATATATATATATATACTGCAAAAGAGCCAGATGTAGTTAATTTCTACGTTTTTATAATTTCTTTGTTGCAAAATCATTTCTACTCTTCCAATATGAATTTCATAACTGGATGGGAAAAATATATAAAAAGTATATTAAAGAAAAGTAGTATATAAAAAAAATCAGATAAACTTTTTACTAATTAACCAACTGATCACTGGGAAACAACATTTGTGGTTCATTTGAAGAACAATCGCGAAAAAAATAAAATCATGTGTGGCCCGCACGTTTGTCAAATACTATTTCTTTGTGAACTTTTTACTTTAGTTTATGTAACCGAGCAAGACGCGGTTTAATTTTTTAATAAAGAGACTGCTTTTTTCAAAAGTGTTGAAACTTTGTGAGAAAAGGCAATTATATTCATATGGATTTAAAGATATTGTTAGCGTTTTATGTTCAAAAAAAAACATATTGTTAGCGTTTAATGTTGTTGTTTTGGTAGTGACGAAATGTGTGCGATTTCATAATATTATTAAATCAAAAAGTGAATGTTTCAATGTTTATTCAAGAAAACATAGCATAACATTTTATTTAGATTCTTAACACTCATAGAGCTCAGCTCGCACTTGATCTTAGAGATAGCAAATATTAAGCTAGAAACTAGACGATGAACATAGATCCACTCGCATCGACGTCAGTGTCGTGGACTAACAATAAATTATCGTCCATTGGTTCCACCCAAAACTCACGCATAGGCTCATCAACAGGATATACAATAAGCTCACGAACGGTCATGGGCTGGACAACGTTTGGGTCGGCTCCAAAGAGAAGATGAGCGAACGATTCTTGTGCTTTCTCTGAGTTATGACGAGCGTCAAAGTATAGGTAAGATCTTTGATACTCGCATAGCTTCGAGTGAACGTTAGGTAAACCGCAACCATACGCGTTGTGCGACCCAATACCGCAGCACGATATATTCGTAAAGGAGTACCCTGATTAGTCACAACAAGTATAATCAAATATTTTGTGTATAATTTACGCTCAGAACGATATTAATTACTCTACGCTCAAAACGATATTATTTATTTGTGTATATTTTTAATGGTTAATTATACTTATACTTACGGTAATTCATGTTTCTTTGTGTCCTGCGAAGAATGACATTGTAGAAATCGAAGACTGTGAATTGGAAACCCGGTTTGGTTTTCGCTAATTCGTTCAACATTGGTCCGATTTTAGCGTTGTGTTGTTTAGCCAAATCGTTGAGTTTCTCGTAACAATCGCTACCAGTTTCGAATTCTTGTCTTACGATCGGTAAACAACCTAGTGGCGCTATCATATGTACCACGAATTTACTAGCTCCCGATGAATACAACATCTGCAATTAACATTATAAAGTAGTAACATAATTAAATATCAATACTAATTAATTTCCTCGATTAATTTTAAGATTAAAGGACTTACGTTAATATCGCTCTTTAACCGGTTGATGACAGAAACGACAAAAGCTTGTTGAGCAGAAGCATCGGCATTAGGATTGGTTTTGGTGAAGTTGTAGTAATCTTCCATACCAATGGAAATCATAAACACTGATTTTGTAATGTAATCTTCTTTCCAATTTGATAACATCTGCCTGAATTTCATCACTTGTTGATTCATAGTCAACTACAAAAATTTAAAAGTCATCAGCGACTCAAAGCTTTATTTATGATTAATTAACAATTAAATAATGACTGTACTATATATATATATATATATATAATTAACCAAGCTTACAGAATCTTTGGGAGAGCCAAGAATCGATGCATAGCCAACGGCGAAGCTGGCTCCTCGTGAGAGATCAACGCCCGGTTTAAACGCCGGCGGTAGATCGTGTCGAATTCCCATGAATTTTGCTGTGATTTATTCACTCCTCATTAATGGTTTTAAATTTAATTACCGTTCTATTTATTTTATAGTTAAATAATTTAAAAAGCTAAGCTTGTTCTCTCGTGAAATGACTAGTCCGTTTTCTTTTACATAAGTATGGTATAACAAATACACATCAATCAATGTTTGTCCATCCGACTAAAAATAGAATAAAAAATAAAAATATTACTCTTTTTTTCTGGAGAAAAAAAAAAAGAAGAAAAAATATGATTATCTTACCGATAAAGTCCGGGATGATTTTGCCATCAGAATACTTTCCGTTAGGGTCATCTCGGGATTTACCATAAGGCCAGAAGTTTTGAGCAAGTGTACGACTTGTGAGGAACTTTTCATTTCCGGCGTCGAAGTTGGAATCGCCGAATGTGAACAGTGCCACTGCCGGCACATTCTGCCCGGAGACAATGACCAGGTTATGGAAGAGTGAACATACCACTAATACCAGCACACTCACCACTAAACTACTGTTGCTTGCCATTTTTGTCTAATAGAAAATTATAAGATATGATAAGTTTCCTCGGTCCAGTATTATATTTATAAAGTAAAATATGCGAAACTAAAATATATTTTGGAAACAATTTAAAAATTATTCGAATCAGTTTAAAGAAAAAAGTTTGGGGAAAGTGCCATGCAAAATTTTAGAAAAGAAATAATGATTGTAATGAATAAACAAGGGCTTGTACCAAAAATAAATAAATAAAGTGAGACCGTTGTGAATGTGGAAGTATTCAGTCTCTCACGTTTTTGATATGTTTTATCGCTTGAAACTAATTCCACTTGTACCTAACGTTTTTACGAAAAGACAACCACTTTAATAAAATTATACTTTCTTTGAAAAGGCTATGCTTGATTATATTCGTTGATTTATATCATACTTGCAAATGAGTTCTTTTAAGGGTCCCTTCTTTTAAAACTTCAATAGATTAATATTTGATAGATTAATATTTGATAGATTAATAAAAATTTCTGGTTTTAAATTAGAACTTCTTATCTAAAAGATTCGTAATAACTATTATTATTTGCATTCTGCTCACACTCGCACATATTAGAGACTCGTCTCTTTATATATATATATATATATATATATATATATATTAGAGACATCCTTTAACAAAAAAATATATATATATATATATATATATATTAGCGACTTGTCAATTTCTTACTAATATATTAAGGTTCATACGTGCGTAAATGTTTTTTTTATTAGGGTTCAACAAATTTGTAGTTACAGTAATGAATTATGCGTCAATATTCATGTATATTATATTCATATACAAAGTTGAATAATAAGTTATGTATTTGCATAAAATGTTAAAATATTTATTGTATCATATAAATATGAAAATAAACTTCTAGTTCCTCCTTACGTAACTAGATAATTAAATATGTACATTATAGTAACATGCTATCTAACATGATAATTAAATATACATATATACATATATATATATATGTGCGATTTCATATTCGATTTGATATTGGTTCAATAAATTGGATTCAGTTGGAGTTGTGTCGATTCCGGTGGCGACTATGTGGGATAATTCCCAATACGTTAGGACATGGTTCGGAGTTGTGTTTGTTATGTTTGTGAATCGATTTGACAAGTTTCCGCCAATGTTATTCGATATGGGTCGATTTGGTTTTTTGTATTTGTGTTGATTTGAAGAGTTGAAGAGAGAGACCTGAGGATCAGAGACATAAAGAATATAAAATAAATATACTAAAAGTTGCATGTAAGTTAAATTCACTTGACGCTTCTCAACTCATCTCCACACATATCTACGATACTGTTATAAAAATGTTGATACAACTGTTAATACTCGAGAATAAAAATGAATCCATGTTAGATAAATCTATTATAACAGATAAAGTCTTGAATGCAAAGCAGAAACAAAGAATGAAGAAGGATGAAATGGAAGACCACACACCACACTTAAATCACAAAAGTTGTGCAGATCAAATTATTGGAAACTGTAAAACAAAATAAAATAGGGTTCCACCCTCAACAGTTATCACACAGAAATATTGATTAGTGTGCAAGCACATGCAGTCGGTAATATTTTTGTTTTTAACTCAATTTAATATATATATATATATATATATATATTTTAATACAATCTTTTTATATGTTGTTACAATAATATTAACTAGTTCTAAACAAATATTAATGAAGAAACATCATCAGATATTTTGGGATATAATCCAAACCAAACTAAACCGTTATATCAGATCGATTTCAGTTTGAATTTTCGGTTCTTGTTTTTTTTTGTCCAACCACGAGAAGCGTAACAACAGAAGATAAGAGACAATCCTGCGTAGCGGAACGACCCTTGAGGATATGATCGAATCCCTTATTTCATTTTTGCTTTTCTGGTTTGCTTGGCCTGGTCCGTTGTTTCGATTCATGCTCTGTTTTTGATATTTTTGAGCTAAAAGCCTTGTTCTTCCTCAAAAATATCCAGCGTTTACAAAGAAATATTAATATCAACTATGTTTTCAGAGAAAAAAACTATATTATCAGAGAATCATTATATTAAATGTTATTAACTTCAATATACAATATTAAATAATTGATGTAATAATAATATGTACCCTTTCGTCAAAAAAAAAAATTTAATAGCAAATAAAATATTGTTTAATTTTTTTTATTTAAATATTTGTTTTGTACTTCGATTCTGATCCACTCAATTCACTGAGACACTGGTAACATTTATGGAACGGTGAAAAAATATAAAAATACAAATAAAAAAAAATTTGCGAAAAACACAATTACGTTTTTGCTTACCGAAAATATGAAAATATAAAGAAATTTTCATTAAACGGAAAAGCGTGTTTGGAGTAGATTATTTGTGGAATCAATGTTTATATTATTCAATTATATAACTAATTATATTTTATTATTTAAATATATACAAATAAATAATTTAGTATTACAAAAAATTATTTAATGATAAAGTTATATCTATTATTTAAGGTTTGGAATATTTTTAAATTTTTTTTTATTTTAAAAAACAAATTATTAAAAAGTTATAATTAGAATTATATCATTTTATAATAATTGATTGAATTATTAATATTTTATTTTTTATAATATATAGTAAAAATAGAATAGTTTCAGATAAACATATTCTACAATTCCGCCATTCCGCCATTCTTCATAATTTATCCAATCGTGTAAAAAAAATAAAGTTTCGCAATTCTACAATAAATTATTCCACGATTTATTTTTTCCGTCATTCCGTAATTCCGCGATATAAAAAATATATTATATCAAAATATGCAATCTGCATATTAATCTGTTTTTAGTCGGAGAGTCGTAACTCGTAAGTGCAGGGCCACCTATATATATAAGAAAGAAACATTCGCCTACATCAAAAAAAATAATACAAATTTTAAGAAGCTCTATTTATAATTATGTTTATGTAGTATTTTGGTAGATATATTTGTTTAACTTTTCTTTGAAATCAAAAAGCCCACTTCATCACTATAATTTTCAAGATAAAAAAAAAATCAAATACAAATCTATGCTTTAGTGAGTTTCAAAAGGAAATATTAGATTTGTGTTATCAATAATAAATAGCTTATTTGATATTATTGATTTTTGTTCTCTCTTTTTTTTTACCAACACTTTTTGTTAGTTTTTGTTTTTAACCTACACTTTTCTTAGTTTATCAATACCTTTTTAATTTATTTTTTAACTACATTTCTGTGTAGTATTATATTTATCATAGATTATGTTTGTCATACATAAAACTTTTTAATTTTTTGCCTACCACATTAAAACATGTAGGCACGGCTCTGCGTAAGTGGCATCGTTTCAAAACTAGTGGTATTTCACTTTAGTTGATTTAGATAATAATACTACGTGACAGAGAAACGACACGAGTTTTAGTAATGATTCACATTTATTTCTTATCGACCATACAACTACCCCACCAGGCCACCACCAATTTATGCATGATGTTTCAGTCAGTCTAAAGAAGCGACGTAAAACTTAGAAGCAAAACAAGAAACTGTCAAAAGTAATAAATGTCATTGACAAAAACTATCAAAAAGTTTAGCTTTAGGTAGATTTGCCAAAGACTAATTAAATTTCGCAAAACGTTATTTTCAGAGCATAATTAGAAACGAGTCATATTCATTGATTAGAAACGAGTAGTACATGCTTTGATTGTTATTTAATAATTTCCTGAAGTCGCTGATCGAGGTGAACACATGCAGCTGAACCACAAATGAAGTTACGATATTTTATTTAATAATAGTACAAATTAAAAAACTAATACCTGCTCTCACAAGTCACAATGAACTGATGAAGGTTAGGTGAAATAAAAATAAAAATACTACTACAAAGCCACAACTCGTGGTAATAAAATACCATAAAATAAACTATACATATGAATATGAATTATTTCTGTTGATATGAATTAGTGTAGGATTAAATAAATAATTCCACCTCTAATGGACTACTAACAGAGAAAAAGTCGTATTTTGATTTTTTTGTTATAAACAAATAGAAACGTTGGTCACGTGGCTTCACCGTAATCCTAAGCTCCTAACTAATTAACCACCGTCGATAGTAACTCAGATCAAACAAAACGACGCTGCTTCGGTTTCTCTCATTGTTTCACCACTTTCAATGGCGGATCCCAAATCTTATCTCTTCTCTCTCTCCTTCTTACTTCTTCTTCTTCTTCTTCACTCCCCCACCGTCTCCTTCGCTCAGACGCTGTTCGTCTTCGGCGATGGTCTCTACGACGCCGGCAACAAACAGTTCGTCTCCTCGAATCGTGTCGACGCTAGCTTTCCTCCGTATGGAATCACTGTAGGAGAGGCTACGGGACGGTGGTCCGATGGCCGTACCGTTCCCGACTATCTCGGTAATTAAGTTAAACCAATCTGAAATCCGGTTAAGGGTTTACATGTTCGTCTGGGTTTTAATCCGGTTCTGTTCTAAGCAGCTAGTTTCATGGGTATTCCTAAAATCCCTCCGATTCTCCGAGGCACGGCGGATTTCTCTCACGGAGCTAACTTCGCCATCGCTGACGCAACCGTTCTCGGCTCTCCTCCGGAGACGGTCAGCTTTTTCATAACTTATCTCTGTATGAATCCAAATTTCAAATTTCAAATTGCCCTTCTTATTCCGAATCCTTGCAAGCTAAGCCAAATCTGGAATTGAGTTTGATTTTTTTTATCACAACTATAATAAATCAATTTCCATTTAGAAACAAACAATCTGAAACTTGTGTTTGAAAGAGTAGAGAAAGTTTGAACTATAATAGAAAGAAATCTCAGATCATGCTTGTATTAGGTTAAAGCTTTTCATCTTGATTATAGAAAGTGAAACTAGGTTAACGTGTTAAGAAATTTAGGGTTAAAGATCTTTTTTTTGTTTATATGTACAGATGACTCTGTCACAGCAAGTGACGAAGTTCTCGGAGAACAAGAACAAATGGACAGCTCAAGCACGTTCTGAAGCTATCTACTTGTTCTACATCGGCTCTGATGATTACTTGAACTATGCCAAGAACAATCCGAATCCCTCAGATGTTCAGAAACAAGCTTTTGTGGACCAAGTCATCGCTGCCATAGAAGCACAACTAAAGGTTACATACAACCCTGAAGCTACTACATCTTTGATTCGATTCGGTTTATCTTCATCTTCATCTTAATCGACTTTTTTTTCAGGTGATTTACGTGTCCGGAGGTAGAAAATTCGCTTTCCACAACCTGGCACCGCTTGGTTGCTTACCGGCGGTGAAACAAGCAAACGGAAATGTTCAGGAGTGCGTGAAACTGCCTTCGGAAATGGCGGCTTTGCATAACAAGAAGCTGTTGCAGCTCTTGGTGAAACTCTCACGAGAGCTCAGTGGTTTCCAATACTCCTTCTACGACTTCTTCAGCTCCATCCAAAACAGAGTCATCAAGTCTAAGACTTACAGTAAGTCTGCTGAAAGTCATCATAAACGATATTGATTTTTTGAGCCAGAAGCTGTGAGATTTATCGTTTTTTTTTTTTTCTGATGCAGCGTTCGAGACGGGAGTGGCTGCTTGTTGTGGGACTGGCTCTGTCAATGGAAGCGGTTGCGCGACGAACAATGTATGCACTAAGCCTGAAGATTATCTCTTCTTCGACGGTAAGCATTTGACGCAAGAAGGGAACCTTCAGGTTGGGCATTTGATGTGGGGATCAGATCCGGAAGTGATTGGACCGAACAATCTCAGGGAGCTTCTTTACCTTCCTCTCGACATTTCAATCGTCTTGGCTGATATACAGGAAGCTATGGCTGCCATGAGACCGAGGCAGATCAAAGTTGAGAGTCTCTATGATGTTAAGAAGATGGAATTGGAGATGGGGAATCAATGGCTTCATCAAGTTGACAAAGCTAGCTCCTTTCTGTTCTAAGATTGTGGTTACGTTATGACCAAAGCAAGAGAGTTTTAAGAGTGTCTGTAATAAGACTTTTATAGAACAAGAAACTATTAAGACATCTTTCTATCTGTTTGGTAATAATAAAACAAGCGGAAACAGCCTTTTTTTCGAAGGCTTAAAGCTTGTTCCCCAAGATAGTCCAGTGGGCCTATTTCGATCTCATCTTTGACCAGAGCTGATACATTTATCATTTTCCAAACTTAAAAAGTTTTTCTTCATTTTCATCAAATCTGAAATCTCATGTGGATTTCTCTGATAATCTTTAATCCAAAACTATACGCAAGGGAAAGTAAAGTCAGCTAAAAAAGGAAGTTAAGAATCTGAAAATAATGTTTGAACTATAATGCTTTCCAGATTAAGCTGAAAATGAATGATGACTGCCCTCAAACTCTCCAAGCAAAAGCTAATTAATTACTGATGTTTTGTATTTTTGTGGATGCTTTTTGGATCTCGAATGATGCAAGAGCTCAACATATCAAATTATTAACCTTCAAGCTAAAATATTGGCGCTGCGTATGACTATTTCAATGTGTTATATGTTAGTATTAAAAAAAAAGTGTTAAAAAGGTATATACAGTATACATATTATTAGTATTGTTTATATTTATATTTATATGATAAAACACCCGACATCAAATAATATTAAAAGGTGTATATACTATACACTTAAATTTAATCTATAATATAAAATATCAATTATTTAACTAAAAACATATCTTTTTTTATACCCATGAAATAACTATAAATACAGTTTTTTTTATAATCCAGTTAGGAAAATAAATATTCCCATGCTTTCCAAATATTTACTCTATCCCACTTTTAAATTTCAAAATCGCAAAAAAAATCATAATGCTTCCAAATTAGAATTGGTAGATATAGTTTCGTCATCCACTTGGATACACATGAATAAATGTTATGGCGATTGAGGGAAGTTAAATGATACGACAAATAAGTAGATAATTTCATAGTATAATTTATGATTTTATTATACTCACACGTACACAAAACACACATATTATTCCAATGATAATAGTTTCCAAACCCCACACACAGTCACACAGCACACACATTTATTTTATTTGATAATAATATTTAAAAAGGAAAACAGCGACGATAGGGTGAGTTTCTGAAGGTCTCACAAACCTTTATTGAATCATATAAAACCTTGACCCCCCACACACACAAACAGACCTTGGAGGGTGAGAGAGCATTGATTACGTGGAGGAATTGACTGCGAAGAAGTACATCTCATCGGTGCGCTCGTTGGTCATAAGTTTCCCTCCATGCACGAGCAGACCTTTCTTTCCGTTGATGGTGGTCGTCGTGGAGGCCACCCAACCGCGGTTGCTCGGTTTGATTGGTCCTCCTTCATACCTCTCCCACACCAATGTCTCAGTGTCCAACGCAAAACCCTCACGGGACAACGTCCCCGGACCTTGATGTGCTTCTGGGTCCCGCTCAATCTCACCTCCGAATATTATTATATATTTCCCCACAGCCGCATGCGCAAAACAGCTCCTACGAGAAGGTTTCTCGAAACCTGTGGTCTCCACTTCGGTCCATTTTTGAGTAGCGGGATCATAGCAGTGCACACGATTAGACTCGTAGTCCTGGGACCCGTAGAGTGTGGGTATCTTAGGATCATTCGCAGTCGCGAATCCGTAAAACACCCAAAGCTTGCCTTGCACCACAAGGAATCCGGCCATTCCTCTTTTCTCGAAATCCTCTCCAGGGTCAGGGAGCTGAGCCCATTTCCCTTCAGCAATGTTATAGGCCTCGATCGTCCTGAACCGAAAGGGGGTTGCATTCAGCCCTCCTTTGCTCACCCCACCGAACACGTACACGTGGTTTTCATCTGAAGTCATCGAATGGAAAGTACGAGCTTCGGGTCCTCCCTTTTCGTCCAGCTTCGTCAGGAACTTCCACTCCTCTTTCACCGTATCGTACGAGTAAAAGTCCTCGAACTCTAACTGTTTATTGCGGCCTCCGAACACATAGAGCTTCGTTCCCACGGCCACCATGCGGGTGCCTAAGACTCTGGTCTTTGGAACGTCTCCGTTGGCCGGAGCGATTGACCAAGTGTGGGTGTTGAAGTCAAAGACATAAAGGTCGTTGTCGATGGACTCATATGGCGGATCCTCGCCGCCGAAACAATAGAGCTTGTCTCCGATCACGGCTATGCCGTGTGAGCTTCTCGGTGCTGGTACTTGTCCTCCTTTCTGCTCCACCTGTCAACCAGTGACCAAAATGAATTGATGGTTAAAACGGATACTGATGAGCCGGTTAATCATTCGAATACATGACAGGTTAATTACAAGTAAACCATCAACATCCCCTCTTTTCAGGAGGGATACGAATGGGGTATAACGTGTCGAGAACATGGGAATTAAGGGTGTTGTCATACATAACTTTTTACTAATAACCAATATTATACATATATACATAATACATAGCCTATGGCTTATGCTTCTCTCGTGCAAAATTAATATCTTAAATAAAAATCCTTGACTAAGTAGGCAATACCTTCATCCACTCGCCTTGCAAAGTCCGAGCCATAGCTGCAATATTCAACTCTTTTTTTCTTTTCTTTTCTATTTGTTTGTGTGTCTCCTCTTCTTTCGCTGCTCTTCTATATATAGGCTAAACAATTCTGCGTGTCAAGGTATCTCCAATTATTGATTGTTTAACAAACAAAAAAGAAAAGAAAAAAAAGAAGAAGATATTTCCAACTGTGTGGTGCTTATGAATTTCTGTGAACTTGTGGGTATTTTGTACCCCCAAAAAGGAAGTGAAAGTGTTAAATTATTATCTAAAAAATGTGAGAAGCATATTAATTTCTTTAAGCTTAGTTGGTAAATCTCCCTTACAAAAATATCTTCGCGAGTGAGCGATAAATCAGAAAATCAGTTGGCAAAAAAAAAACAGAAAATAAATCAGAAAAGGAGAATGAATAATTGTGTTTGTTTAGGATAAAAGGTCTTGGAGCAGTTAGAAAACATGCATGGATGGTGCGCAGTGCTCAAAGAGATGTGCCACAGTCATGAAGATTAACAAAAGCTAACATAGCTGTTAGGCGACGGGTATATATGCCGTGTGAGCTTCTCGGTTTCTGCGCCACATGTTAGTCTAAATTAAAGCATGAAGATGATGATGCATGTGTTAATTCATATTGCTTAAAACTATGAAACATGATTGATACTTGACAGCATGATGATGATATTGCTTATTACTATGAAACATGATTGTTACTTGATAGCTTGATGATGATGATGCATGTGTTTGTTTTTTTTTGCTTATTACTATAAAACATGATCGATATCTTCAAACTTGATTTTTATTGCGTTGTGGAACATTTCTTTTCTTTTTTTTCTACCATATAATTTTCAAAAATACAACAATTTTTAAAACAGCAAACACCACAAAAATATCTAAAGCAGCGTTATCAAACTATCTTAGCATAATTGTACATTTGTTTGACTTTTAACACGAGATACAAAAATTATTGTTTTTTTTTCCTATTTTGTGTATCGCTGTAATATTACCAGTTAAACACTTAAACCCCATATCATTCTTTATTCACCATTTTGAACATTTTATCATACTTTTAGGCTTTTAGCTTTAGTGAACAAAATGTTACTTTCCTGATTCGAAATTAATAATATAGATATAGGTGATAACAATTTGTAATTCACCTAAAATTATTTACAACTATTTAGTTCAATATATGAGCTGTGTATTTTAATTGCATAGTAATAAAAAATTTAAACCCATTAGAAATTTAGAATGATATGATATAAAATAGTGTGTTATATATAAATAAACAATTGACCAAAAATATATATATATATATATAAACAAACTGATTATATTTGCCCAAAAAAAAACTGATCATTTGTTAGATTGAACTAGTATAAAAACTACCCCTTTTGCAGAACCTTTCGGTTGTCTTCTATAAATATAACCAGTTATCTATCTATACTAAACTTTATATTTCAGTTTTTGCATCAACTTCAGATATTTAGGCATCGAGTGCTGGGTTTCCTTGGATTGTGATCACGTTCTAAGTGTGTTTGCCAAAAAAAAAAAATGTTCGTGTATGCAATTAAACACTTAATTGTAACATGTCTATTAATTTGATGAATACATTTATTTACGTACTATCAGAATATATAATTTTTTCTGCTTATTTTCTCTCGTGCTATTAATTCGATTTGAATGTTTCTATTTTTCTTTCCCAATATATATATTAGAATATTAATATTTTAATAAAATTCAATAATTTAATTTTTTTTTAAACTACTTTAATAAATAAGTGTTCTCTCTAGTGGGTAACGTGTCAAAATCACGTTACCATTATACTGAAATCTCACTTTCTTTCTTATTTTTCCTTTTTTATATTGTTTAGATACATACTAAACTCTAAATATGTAACGATGGAGAAGCTCACTGCTCAGCCATGCAGTTGTTGCAAACTTGAAGCTGCAGGGGTCCACGTGACATTAATTGCGAACATGTGATTGATCAGATATGAAAGCTGTATATCGTAAATCTTTATACTTTATATATGTTCTATATGAAATTATATATAGTAGAAAATAAAACAAAGAACATGCTATCATTAAACCACGCAAATTAATACTAATGTAACAAAATAACAAAACTTACCGGTATCAAACGTATCTTAAATCAAGAATTGACACACTCACGCATAGCAATGGATTTAAGTTGCGAATAAAGTGATTGAATAAAGTGATAAGTTGGTCAATTTTGCATGATGTTAATATCTAATTTGGATTTTATGTTAAAAAAATTGTGTTCAGAATCTAATCTACGTACTTTTTGCCTTTTTGGGGGTCGAAAACCTACCAAGTTTAGCACTAATTATGAGTTAGCACAAAAGTGAAATTGAAACTTTAATGATGCTCTTACGTTTATTACAAAGTACAACCAAAGTAAAGAAGTAGAAGAATGAAAATCCAAATCGTTAAGGGGAAGCGAGATTATGCGAATTTGAATTGATAGTCTGATGGTAACCTGAAGATGGAGTTTTAGAAAAACCGATGCCGATGAGTTGAATCTGTCGTGTAGCTGTAGTAGAATCCAGTCTTCTCGCAAACGCAACTTTAAAGTCTGTCAGAGGTGGTTACCACCCATCAAAGATGATAAAGACCAAATATTTAGATTCTTCTAAAGGGCAAATCCACCATGAATTAATAATTAAACATCTAGACTTAGTCCATGGCTCTAAACAAGTGCCACCAAAAAGGATAAATTTGTTATTTGATTTTTCGTTTACAATATTTTTTTTGTTTATACTTATCTTCATTGCTCTTTTTTTTTTTTTTTGGTTTCAGATTTTCAACAAATACTTTTCTGTCAAATATGTGTTTAAAATGTGTGGTCGGTATTATTTGAAAAAGAAAGTGTCGGCATTAAAAGGTAAAACCATATCTTTAGATGCTCTTTCTTGTTTCTCGTATTTGACCCTAAAATGTATGTCACAAGTATGTGACTATAGGACAGTGGGACACGACGAAGAAACAGAGTCGTTACTCGTTAAAATCCAAATTTCAAAGACAGCAAGTTTACAAAATACAATTATACAAACTATACAAACACAGAATCAAGATCGATCTCCAAACAGAATCAAGAAACCGCGATTTGAAGAGTGACGACTGCCACGTCAGCTTTTTCCTTCACCAGATTCGGAGTACGTCTTCTTTCCAGCTTAATGTACTTGCACCCTTTTTATCAGATTTAAATGATCGTTTAGAAATTTGATCAAACAATTAGAAAATTGCTATAAAAATATCATAGTCTTATTTGTTTTTCGAAAATCTTGAATGATCTCTCATACTATAACACTCATGTTGTTCAGAATTGCTAAATTTTCCCAGCAATTAGGAAACTGAACCATATATGAATATATTGGTACGTACATTTATGAATACATCGCCAAGAGAGATAATGGCCCATTATGATACATGTAAATGAATGGCCACGGGCCCACGCGTTTGTTGGGGATGTACGTTGTTGTAGACTTTAAACTCGATAGCTATGTAATAATTTTTTTTTTTTTTGTATGAATGTTACTAACCAATAAATTCTAGTGATCTGACTTTAAAAATCAAATAAAGTCTAATCTAAAAAGCTTTTTAACCCAAAAAAGAGGTCATGAACCTTAATCTCTACTAATCTCAATAAAACCTAAAATAAAAAACCCTAATTATTGACAAAATAAATGAAAACTGTATATGTATATAGCAGTATTGAGTTTACTTGGTTGTCTCTTATATTTTAAAAATTATGAGACAGCTTGGTGAATGTATATATATATATATATATATCTTCTACCTATTAATTGAGAATGTAGTTTAATGAAAAATGCTGATTTGTTTTAATTTGATTGGTTAATATGTTTAGTTTGAGCAATTTTAATGTGACATGGAAATAATGATGTGTAATGATGATGTAATTGTGACATGTCAGTTTTTAGTACATATGGCTTGTGACATGGCATTATTTAATCTATAAATAAAATTGATGTTAAAATTTTGATACAAAATTGAAGTATTGAAATTTTTGACAAAAATTTGGAATAATTATATTTTTGTCAAATAGATTTGAAATTACATTTCGACACAAATTTTTTGTAAAATTTTTTTTACAGATTTCAAGTATTTAGCAGAAAATTTGTGACAACCTATTTAACACAATTTTTTTGATATCTCCCGAAATCAAATTAAAATACTCTAAAATAAATGTTTTGGTGGGAAAGTTACAATTCATGTTTTTGGTGAAAAATTTCTGAAATCGGGTTTTCATAGAAGTTTCTTGAAATTATATTTTTAAATAAGTTTTTTGACGAAAGATATATGGTTTCACTTATATAGCAGGAAATTCGTGAAATCAAAATTTTGACCATTACTTTTTGGAATCAGATTTTTAATGTAAAGTTTTTAGCGAATTTTTTTAATGGATTCACTTTTTGGCGGGAAATTCACAAAATCAAAATTTTGATACAATATTTTTAACTCATATTTTTGACGTAATTCTTTTGGTGCAAAAGTTACTGATTCATGTTTTTGGCATGAAATTTGTAAAATCGGTTTTTTGATGGAAATTTTTGAAATCTTATTTTAAGTAAGTTTATAGTGGAATATTTACAAGTTCAATTGTTTGTGTGAAATTTTGCGGCATCAGATTTTTAGAAGGAGAATTTTTCACTTTTATTATCATCTTATTTTGTCTTACTATAAATAAAGATCAAAAATTTATATTATATGTGAATGTATTTCAATTATATAGTGAGAATTACGAACCAGAAATATGACGTAAAGTGACGTAAAAACTATAAAAAGATGAAAAATATAAATAAAAAATAGAAAACAACGAATAACAAAGAATTATTTTATTTTATTCTACGATTTTTTTAAAAAATATTTTAAGTTTTGTGTATATTTTATTCTTTTACTATGGCCCAATTTATCAATTCTATTAAAACATTTTTTCACAAACAAAAATTTCTTACAAATATATTTCCAAACAGATGAATTACTAATCTATTATTAATAATTAAATTTTTATAAAATTTTCATATCCGCACATATATACCTGCACATATGTGCGGGCCAATTACCTTGTATATATATATATGAATCAAATGAATGTTTTGTAAATTATTTTCTAAAACTTCCCTATCTCGCGAGTTCCGATAAAACAGTTCTGCATTGTTTTGTTTTCATATTTAGTTAGATAAAATGACCGATCATTATAAATTAAATATTTATCTGATATTGTTCTAAGAAAAATATCTGATATTGTACTACCTATATCTGAATATAAATATTATGTATGGATATTATTTTGTCATCAATGTATATAATGTTTTAGAATATTTCGTACATTTAAACCGATAGTACCAAATTTGCCTAAGTAATTATTTATGATGGTGGACTCAAGCACCTTGTGCTAGATGCACGCCTTTATCTGGCTTTTAAGACGTGATAAAGCTTAAAGAAAGTGAACACCCTTACTTCTCTCGAACCTCTTCATCAAATGTAGCAAAACATAGACCACTCCTTCATGAAGATATTATCCTCACTAACTCAGAACAGTTTGTTGCGAAAGTCATAATCGTCTTGTAATTTGAAATTATATACAATGCGTGCCTCTACTTCCACATGTAATAGAAATAAACTCCACCGTAAAAAATTTCCCCCCCATTAAACCCTTTTGGTGAAACAGTACCTGTTAAGACCAGTAAACTTACTGTTTCTTACACCTTTTGCTTTGCAAAGCAAATTACGCAAATAGTAAGAAAAAAAAACAGTATGTCAGTATTATTTACACTTTACAAAACTATTTTATTCAATGCATAATTAAACTATTTTGTTCAGTGCATAATTAAATGGAATTTAGTATTATTTACACTTTACAAACCTATTTTATTTTGGTCGAAAAATGAAATGTAATATTTTGTAGACGACCCATAGCAGACAGAGCTGTCTCATAAAGAGCAAAGTGCCACGTCGTGATAGTCACTTGTCACCCAGTCCACACTGCATGTGTGGTAATATTTTTTGTTCCTTACATGTGATGGAATATAATAGAACCGAAGGTTTGCTTTACATCACGCACGATTTACCAAAAAATGGACTCGACACAGGATGAAATCGAAGAAAAAAACTGAAGCCTCAACATAGAGAAGGCCACAAAAGCCCAAAAAAGAGGGAAGTAATACAAAGAGGAAGAAACTATATATCTCATGGACCGTGACACTTTTAGCGATGAGAGTCTTTGGAATCCTCAATATGAAAAATTCTACGTGCGTGTCTCAGCCAAGATCTAACTTTGAGTTATACGAGTAAGAGTACCTTTTGATTTACTAGTGTAAATACTGATTTTACTAGTTGTGTACATATATAATCCAATTCTCATTTGAGAGTTTCTTCCATATTTTGGTATTCAACATCAAAAGCAGAGATGAGATATATGAGAAAATCATAATTATATTTATAAAATAATTTCACATTAGTTGTTTGTAAATCTAATATTATCTTCTTACAAAAATAAAACCTTAGATAATTTGGTTTCCGCGCACCTTAACTAAAAACTTATAACAACTTGATCGAATGATGATATAATATTCCAACTTTATCGTTACTTTTAAATTAAAGGCATTAGCTATATATGTCTTCATTTTTCCTTTTATAAATAAAATATCGTTCGGTGTTTAGAAATACATTGTCATCCACGTGAATACGTCTAGAAATAGAATACTCCAACTTTATCGTTACTTTTAAATTAAAGGCATTAACTTCTATATATGTCTTCATTTTTCCTTTTAGATGTAAAATATCGTACGTTCGGTGTTTAGAAATAGATTGTCATCCACGTGAATACATATAGAAATAGAATATCGATCGGGTGAGTAAATGACTAAATGTTAAAGCGATTGAGGGAAATTAAATGATACGACAAATAAGTAGATAATTTCATATAATTTATGATTTATTCACGTACAAGAAAACACATATTATTTCAGTGATAACTGATAACAGTTTACAAACCACAAACACACACACAGCACACACATTTATTTGATTTAAGTAACTTTTAAAAAGAAAAACAGCGACGCATAGGGTGAGTTTTTGAAGGTCTCACAAACCATTATTGAATCATATAAAAAACCTTACCACACACAAACAAACAAACCCTGGAGGGTGAGAGAGCATTGATTACGTGGATGAATTGACTGCGTAGAAGTACATCTCATCGGTGCGCTTGTTGGTCATAAGTTTCCCTCCATGCATGAGCAGACCTTTCTTTCCATAGATGATGGCCGTCGTGGAGGCCACCCAACCGCGTTGGATCGGTTCATCTCCTCCTTCTAACCTCTCCCACACCAATGTCTCAGTGTCCAACATGAAAGCCTCACGGGACAACGTTCCCGGACCTTGGTGTGCTTGTGGGTCCCGCTCGATCTCACCTCCGAATATTATTATATATTTCCCCACAGCCGCATGCGCAAAGCAGCTCCTCGGAGAAGGTTTCTCGACACCTGTAGTCTCCACTTCGGTCCATTCTTGAGTATCCAGATCAAAGTAGTGCACACGGTTCGACTCGTAGTCTTGGGACCCGTAGCGTTTGGGTGGTACATTAGGATCATTCGCAGTCGCGAACCCGTAAACCACCCAAATCTTGTTTTGCACCACAAGGAATCCAGCCATTCCTCTTTTCTCGAAATCCTCTCCAGGGTCAGGGAGCTGAGTCCATTTCCCTTCGGCAATGTTATAGGCCTCGATCGTCCTGAACCGAAAGGGGGTTGCATTCAGCCCGCCTTTGCTCACCCCACCGAACACGTACACGTGGTTTTCATCTGAAGTCATTGAATGGAAAGTACGAGCCTCGGGTCCTCCCTCTTGGTTCAGCTTCGTCAGGAACTTCCACTCCCCTTTCACCGTATCGTACGAGTAAAAGTCTTCAAACTGCGACTGTTTATTACGGCCTCCGAATACATAGAGCGTAGTTCCCACGGCCACCATGCGGGTGCCTAAGGCGTTGATCGTTGGGACGTCTCCCTTGGCCGGAGCGGTTGACCAACTGTGAGTGTTGAAGTCAAAGACATAAAGGTCGTTGTCCATGGACTCGTACGGCGGATCCTCGCCGCCGAAACAGTAGAGCTTGTCTCCGATCACGGCTATGCCGTGTGAGCTTCTTGGTGCTGGTCGTCCTGCTATCTGATTCACTATCTGTTGATCATCCACCAAGATAAATCATAACCATGATGCATGGTGATCATTAAAATGGATATTGATTATTCGAATACATAACAGGTAACAGGCTTCGTACATGGATACGTACGGATGATAAAGTCTTAATACTCATCAGTAGATTTAGAAAACCATGATACAAATGGAGTAACGTGTGGAAAACACGGAAAGGCTATCAGTTTCATGCATTGCTTTACTAATAATTTACTCCATTAAGTGATAATCTCTCTCTCTATATATATATATAATATTCTATTTTGAAATCCTCAGTTAGTTAAGCTATTACCTTGATCCACCCGCCTTGCAAAGTCGGAGCCATAGCTGCAATATTCAACTCTTTTTTTCTTTTCTTTTCTATTTGCTTGTGCCTCTCCTCTTCTTCCGCTGCTCTTCTATATATATAGGCTAAAATTCTGCGTGTCAAGATATTTCCAATTGAATGTTTAACAAAAAAAAGAAGAAGATATTTCCAATTGTGTGGTCCTCGTGAAGTTCTGTGAACTTATGGGTATTTTGGACCCCAAAAAAAAGAAGTGAAAGTGTTATTTTATTAAAACAAAAATTGTAAGAGTATATTAATTTCTTTCAGGTTATTTGGCCAATCTCTCTTTCAAAAAATATCTTTGCGAGTGAGCGATAAATCAGAAAAGGAGAATGAATAGTTTGTGTTTGTTTAGGAAAAAAAAGTCTTGGAGCAGTTAGACAACACATGGATGGTGGTGCTCACTGCTGAAAGAGATGTGACAAAAATCATGAAGGTTAAAACATATAACATAACCGTTAGGCCACGGATATGCCGTGTGAGCTTTTCTGTTGCTGCGCCACTTATTAGTCTGATGATGATGATGCATATATATGTTTTATCAATTTATAGAAATATTTTTTTGATCGAATTTTGAGTGTTTATAAGAAAATAATTTTTTTTCAACATATATATAATGGATGTGTTTGTTTATTTTTCTTATTACTAAAAACATGATTGATATCTTCAAACTTGATTTTTATTGCATTGTGGAACATTTATTTTCTTCTTTTTAACATATAATTTTCAAAAATACAACAATTTTTAAAACAGCAAAAATACCACAAAAACATCTTAAGAAGAGTTATTAAAATATCTTAGCATATTTGTAAATTTGTTTGGAATTGAGTCTAAAGTTGAGTAACTATTTATATGTTATATATATATATATATTGAGTTTGATTATTTAGCGCAGAAAATTAAAAACAACTAATCGTTCAGTAGCTTAGTTAGTAATTTCATACTAATCACATTAATCACGAAGTAAATTTCAGTTAATTCTGTCAATTTGATTTTTTGTTAAACTTTGTTTTTAGCCGTAAAAAGTTCGTAAATAAATAGTTTTTCTGTAAAGACTAATTTGTTATATGAAACATATGATTGGTAAATGAATTTTGAGTGGCAAGATATGGCATGAAAAAGTAAAATTATAACTAAAAGTATAAAAAAAATGTAACATACTAACAAAATATAAAAGACTAAAAATACATAAATGGTATCATTAATTATAACGGTTTGGATAATCACTCTCATGACATGCGAACGGCACGAACCTCGTGACAGTCGCTGTTTTAAAGAGCAACGTGAAACTCGTTTACGAAATAATCCAACGTACACGTTTTGACACGTTACCATTATAGCTTTAATTAGTTACATGTCAGCTTTTAGAATACAAAAATTATTGATTTTTTTTTCTATTTTGTGCATCGCTGTAATTATTAAGTTAAAAACATTTTACCATACTTTAGGCTTTTAAGTGAACAAAATGTTACTTTCCTTATATGGTTCCAAATTAATAATATAGATATAGATGATAACAATTTCTAAATCACGTAAAATTATTTATAAACATATCAAAGCTTAAGTATTTCCAACTATTTAGTTCAATATATATATCACATATGATATGAGTGGTGTATTTTAATTGCATGATAATAAAAAAAAGAAGGTTTAAAGCCATTACAATGATATGATATAAAATAGACGAACTCTCTCTTTCAAAGAAGCTTTCGTGTTGTTTTCTATAAATGTAACCAATTATTTATCCTTTTTATGTTTCGTACTTCAATTTCTGCATCAACTTCGGATTCCCAGATATTATATGCTAAATTTTCTTGAATTGTAATCACGTTCTAAGTGTGTTTGCCAAAAAAAAAAACTGTTCGAGTGTATGCAGTTTAAACACTTATATGTAACATGCATGTTAATAAATTTAGTTAAGAAAATAATATATATGTCTATAAATTTGATTGGATCATCTTCATACAAATTAAGATAAAACTTTTTGTGTATCAAAAAATTTAGACAAAGATAACATAAGAATCTAGAGCCATAAAACTGCACAGAAACCGAAGATAATAGAAATTGCAAAAGAGGAAAGGGAAGCCAAAGGCGAATGTTCATGATTATGGTAAAATGGTAGCGGGAGACAGAGACTATGGTATAATGTTCTCGTGCCATCATGACCATATATATATAATTCCTTGTTGTTTATCTACAGTTAGGAAAGATCAAAGCCATGCGGTTGTTGCAGACTTGAAGTTGCATGGGTCCACGTGAAATCAATTGCGAATATGTGATTGATAAATATGAAAGCTGTATATCGTATATCATATACTTAATCTATTCTCTATGAAATTAAATAGTAGGCTATAAGACAGAAAATTATACTATCATTAAACCACGCAAATTAACAATATAACCAAATAACATCACTTACCGGTATCAAACGTATATAAAATCAATAATTGACGGCACACTCACGCATAGGAATGGATTTAAGTTGCTAATAAAGTGATTTGATTTTGAGTTGTCTTGGTCTGTAAAAGGAAAACTACGTACGGGTCAATTTTGCATGATAATATATAATTTGGATTTAATATTAAAAACTGTGTTCACAATCTAATAATCTACGTACCTTATCTTTGGGTTGAAACGTACCAAATTTAGCACTAATTAAGTCATGAGTTAGCACAAAATTAAAGAAACTACAAAAATGAAAGTGAAACTCTTAATGATGCTTTCCGTTTATTACAAAGTACGACCAAAGTAAAGTTTAAGTATATAAGGAGAAGAATGAACATCCAAATCCTTTAGTGGAAGCGAGATTATGCGATTTTGAATTGTGTGATCAATTAGTCTGATAGTAACCTGAAGATGAAGTTTTAGAAAAAACCGATGCGGGCGAGTTGAGTATGCCTTTGTAGCTGTAGAATCCAGTCCAGTCGCATGCAAACGGCAACGTTAAAGTCTGTCAGAGGTGATAAATTGGATAAGACCAAATGTTTTGATTCTTTTAAAGGGTTTCTCGCAACACTTTATTAAAAATGTTTTTCTTTTCTTCCGGCAAATCCACCATGGATTAATAATTCATGTCCATGGAGCCACCAAAAAAAGTATAAATTTTAATATATTTTTATCTTCTCTGCTATTTCATTTTTTTTATTTTTTTGGGTTTTAGATTTCAACAAATAGTTTTCTGTCAGATAGGTATTTAAATTGGTAAACAAATTAATTGTTTACCAATTTTGATCAAATAATTAGGAAATTGCTATAAAAATATATATCACAATCTTGAATGATCTCTCATACTATTATGCGTTCGTAGTTGTTCAAAATTGCTAATATGAGAATATATTGGTACGTACATTTATGAATACGTCGCCAACATTCAAGAAAGATAATGAGGGGGAGGGGGGGATGTACGTTGTTTGTTATTGTAGACTTGAACTTGTGCAGGTTCTATCGGTCCTGCGGCCGGGTCTTAGAGAAATCAATAGCCTAACAATGAAAATATATTAGGTTTCGGTTATTTGTAGTATATATTATTTGACTTTTAAAAATCAAACAAAACCCAAACTAAAAAGCTTTTTAACCAAAAAAAAAAAAAAAAAAGAATATGTCCTCTTTACTCATCTCAGAAAAGAGAAATTGGGTCATATGACCATATTAAACTGAAAAATAGACAAACTAACAATAAAAATCAATGACTATAGTATTTTATATATATTCTACAATATATATAAAACTATCTCTCTCTTATTTTTTTTCTTTTTCTTCCTGTTTTTTTTTCTTCCTTCCTTTTTTCTTCTTTTTCATCCACTTTTCTCCTGTCATTCTATCTTTTCCCCTCTCTTTCCCCGCCAGTCTTCTCCCCCTCATCACTTTACATTTTGTCTTCTTTCCCTCATCACTTTATATTTTATCTTCTCTCCTATACGATTTATTAAAAACAAATATTTTATATATAGTATAATAATATAAATCGATATAGTATACTATAATAATGTATTTATAAATTTTGTTTGAATGTCAAAATAGACAAATTTTAGAGTTTTTGCTTATTGAATTAATTATAAAATTAGTATGATTATATTGTTTATTTTATGGTGTAATATGGTTATTTCACAAATTAACCCCTCAAAAAAACCTATAAAACCTAAAATAAAAATCTAATTATTGACAATAAACGAAAACTGTAAATGTATTGAGTTAACTTGGTAGTAGTATATTTAAAAAGTTATGAGACAGCATGATAAATGTATACATACATAGAAGAAGAATCTCAATGAATGTTTTTGTATGGAAGCCTGTAAATTATTTTCTAAACTTCGATATCTTCCAAGTTCCGATAACACAGTTCTGCGTTGTCTTGTTTTCATATTTAGTTTAATAATGACCGATCGTTAAAATGGAGAAAATATATCATTTCTAATTTTAAATTTTCTCTGTTTATTAAAATTTAATAATATTTTTATATGTATATATTCTATGAAAAATATCTGATGTTGTACTACCTATACCCGAAATTAATTATTATTTTTGTCAACAATCTATATTTCTAGAATGGTTCGAAAATTCAAACCGCTAGTACCAAATTTAGCTAAGCAATATTTATGATGGTGAACTCGAGCACCTTGTGGTAGATACCGGCCTTTATTTTGCTCTTAAGACGTGCCAAAGCTTAAAGAAAGTGACCACTCATCAATGAAGATAATATCTTCACTAACTCAGAACAGTTTGTTGCGAAAGTTAGGGGTGGGCATTTCGGTTTTTGGTTTGGTTTCGGTTCGGTTTCTTCGGTTTTACGGTTTATCAGTTTTACGAAAATTCAAACCATATAAAAGCCATATATATTTCGGTTCAGTATGGTTTGGTTTTTTACGGTTCGGTTTATTATGGTTTGGTTTCGGTTTTTTTAGAATTATATTTTTACAAAATTTTTTGATTTAAACTAATAGAAATAATAATAATAAATATGAGTGAAATAAAATAATAAATTCAAAAAATAGAATCTAAATCATAAAAAAATCATCAATAATGACAAATTTCAAAACAGAAAAACAAA